TGATCGCCGTGGTAGCTCGGTTTCTCAACTCAACCATTTCCGTCGTTACCGATCCCATCTAGCGATCCCATCAGTGGCGTGCACCAAGGAACTGTACTTTGGCCAGTATTATTTCTTATTTATATTAGCAATCCCCCGCAGACGCTTTAGTCAACATGTGCCCTGTTTGCAGATGATTTGAAAATCTGGATGATCATTGAGAACCAGGACGACTGCGCTCGCCTCCAGTATGACTTAGATCGACCGTCAAAATGGTCCTCTGAAATGCAACTCCTTCTAACGCAAGCAAATCAGAGATCATCAATATCACCAGAGGTCTAGCCACTCGATCATACAGTTTGGACTGTCAGTTGCTCCACCCTAACACATCTGCCAGAGACTTAGTGGTGCTGTCGTGACAATATGTTAGATCTATAGAAAATACAGATAAATGCTACCGTGCAAGACTTCGGATGTTTTGGGCAATACAACTAATTTAGCATATAATGTAAAGAAACCGTCGCTCGCCTATTAATCTCGCTCATTAGACCAATCCATGAATACGGCGCCGAAGCTTAACATCTGATAACTTAGTTTGTAACTGAAAACCTGGAGAAAATACAACACATCGCTACTAGAATTATGTCCAGTCTACGGAAGCTCCCGTATGATAAAGGTTGTGAAATGTTCGGACTCTACAGGCTATCCTACCGCCAAATAAGGATTGACCTTATTATGACCTATCGAGTAATGCACTTGGATCAGTTCCCCTACTGCGGCAAATGTTTTAGCTAAGGGAACCCTGTAACATCCTAGGACACCGTTACAAACTCAGGGTCCGCTGCATGAACAAGGTTGGACATCATCTTTGTAAAGAACAAAGAAACGTAAACTTATGTAATACACTACCAAAAAGACTAATAGAAGACGATTCTGTGAAGTATTTTAAAATATGTATCGACAATTATTTCGGAAGCATGCACTTTTGTGAAAAAATGCACACACAATGAGACAAATGTTACAAGTGAATTTGTATAAGCAATGAGGTATGCGCTACTTCTTTATCAGTGTCCTAATAAAACGCATATGTAGTATATGAGGTTAGCAACTGTAGTTTGGCTGCACTATACGTCCTTTACGATGAAGCATTAATACGTCTCACAGTACTTTTCATCATATAATCTATTTTGACTGCCATTTCGATTAGGAATGGCTTCTTTTTAACCGTTGGCTAGCGACCTCTATGGCTATGCTGGCAATGCTTTGTATAAACCAAATCAGATAGCTTTTCGATTGTAATGTGTTGTACAGATGTTCTTTATCTGATTCTATTGTGTCCGGAGTGCAAATCATGTGGGCTAGACGAAAGAGCATATAGGCAAGCAAGCGTTTGTGTTTTTTTGGAGATCTCTTAAAATGCAAACGCTGACACGTCTAAGTTGCTTTCCTATAATCTGAATTTCTGATCGAACCATCCAACGACGATGTACTCCGTTTGACTAGAAATGCAAGTAATTAGTTTGCTCCATGTCACACTCCAATGTAAGCTCCGAATGCATGTCGTTGCTAGTAGCTGTCGCGGCTCCAATGTCCACGTCAGAATCCACTTTAAGCAGTATATCTTACAGAGAACGTTATATAGGTTGGAGGATTATATATGATCTTTCTTCTCCTGGATCATGTTCATGAAGAAATCCGCAAACAAAAGGCTTAATGGGCTACCAATGGCAACTCCGCATACCTGCCGATGTTTCTTCGCTTAAAAAAGAGCATGGTGTTTCTGTGTACAAAGGAAACATGTGTGGCAACAACGCCGTGAATAGATGCAGTCGAATATTATTATTGAAATAAACTTACAAAGATAATCACCAGCCTCTTCAGCAGGATGTTGTTGAACTTTGATGGTATATAAAGAAAACACATTCGCTTTTTGATCATTTTACGCATTTTATGACAACAGTTCCTATGTTTTTGTCAATATTTGTTTTACTCAAGTTTTTCTGACAGGTTCAAGCGTGTCGTTTAACATTTGGGCAATGGCGTGGTACGGCGAATTGACCATGGAAACAATTACTTGCATAGGTACTTCATTCTTACGCACTGTGGACAAGCAGACATTTGTGGTGTGCGGGCCCAAAATTTTATTGCTTTGTATTGGTCTTTAAATATAAAACGATGAAGTTTTATGACTTGTGATTCGCAACAACCTTGCATCTCGGTCAAGCAACACTGACAGTAGGTATCCGCTTTAAACTTTGTACGGTTTGACAGTAGTAGCACTTTCTTTCTTAAAGAATTTTGCCTCTCAAGTTTAACCGCCCCAGACCTCTTGGTAGGAATAACTATGACAGTGTATTTGTTGCCTTTCAACTCACGGTCAGCTTTGTAGTGCTATGTCATCAGACAAATCTGCTGTCGTATTGGGGCACTGTGAGAATAATGTCAAATATCCAATGGTTTGTGTTTTAAAGGAAAATCTATGGTAGGGGGCCTTGGGTTTAAGAACATAAGCAGCCTGCAAGGATTCTTAAGGTTTATCTCGACAAATGTATTGTTAATCTGATGAGGGGACGCATTTAATCGTATTGTGGTCGATATTGCTTCCGCTTGCAGCCGATTCAGAGAAGGATGATACATATGGACAAATGTTTAACAATCACATAGGAACTCGTCCTCATGGAGCTCCCCGGAAACGGTACGTGGGAAATGGTAACTTGAAGATTTTATCCTCCTTCTGGTAATATCTTGGCAGAAGTCTGCAAATTGTGTTCGAACCAAAAGCAACGAAGATAAATAAATCAGTAGATAGCTTTGGGCAGTGGAACATGAACCGCGCTATATAATAGTAAACCGGTAATCACGCATTTTCGCGGCTGTCACCGACGGTGAAGTGATACTAGCTGCTTGCATTCTGAAATCATGGGGTGTAACCCAGCAGAGGTCCGATGGAATGTACACCACTGACAAGACCCATAATGTCAAAATACCGGTGTCTGGTGCTTTTCCTGACTAGCCAAAGCCTGCTTGCTGAGAGTGACCATGATGCAATATCTACATTATACCAAAATCTTCACTACTCGTTATACTATGAAAGTCTGTCTTTATAGCTCCTAAGTCCTACTTCACACATAGCCGCTATAAGAATATCATGGCACGTGGGGCTAACTGTTTTCCTCTACACATTCGTAACTTACATGGCAGTCAAAAATACGCTAGTGTAAATCAACGGCAATGCGGCTGTCACCCACGGCGAAGTGGTAGTAACTGATGGCATCCGGAACTCATGGGGGCCGCACACTGTAGGTTTCCTATGGAATGCACCCTAATGACGCAACCCAGCAGGTTTAAACGCCGGTGTCTCGTACGGTTCCAGACTTGCCGAAGCATGCTGACTGAAAGTGGACCATGATGAGTTAGCTGAAATGTCTTATTTTCATTTACATCAAGGCACAGAAAATTCGGCATGATCAATATTTTACAAGCAATTACCTGTCCCAACATGCACATCAAGTTACATGCGATGTAACGGGTACTGAAATATTTCGCCTGCGGAATTTGGGAAATACTGGTGAGGACATTATAGGTTGTGATGTGACAACAGAAGGAAATCAGCTTGGGTATTTAGTAATGTCGTATAGGTGTAAGCTTTGTGGTCATAATGGCATCTAAAACAAAATTATCTTGAAGTATATGCATAAATAATTAGGAACTGTGACTGCTCAAAAATGCCAGTGTAAAGTTGAGGGCTGTCAATATATTCAGTGGCGAACCACATTCGTCACGTCACCGTGTAGTTACAAGGAAAATTTGGCTTTTATACTGTGGGAGATGGATAAAGGAAAACCTACCACGTTCTGGAAATCTGCCGTCAAAAATTTTGAACACTGGCGTCAACTGGCAAGAAACGCTTGAGATCGACAGGATAAGCGATACTTTATAGAAATGTTTGAGTACTTGGAGAGCGATCACCTTTGAGCCATTGATCTGGGAAGAGAATATCTGGTGAGAGGGATTGATAACGCTGCCCTTGTAGATAGTTATTTGGTTTCTCATTATATAATCTCGAGGCAACCATTAATGGATCAACCTCTTCCCGATTTGCTTTTGCATTAACTTGCACTGTTATTAACATTGGGCTTGCACCCGGTAGTCGCTGGGTGCGGGTGATCGCCGAAATGATCAGTAGCAACGCCAGTTTTATAGTTGTTTACATTCAGGTGAATCAGCCTCGAGTCGCATGGGTTGCGCAGCTAAGTCCTTTTCGGATAAATTCATCCCATTTGAAACAGGCTTTAAGGAAGTTCCTGATTCGTTTCTTCAAACCTCGGAAAGAAGAAAATATGGACGAGCTGGCAGAACGCAGAGGAGAACCGGCGTGGAACCAATCAATATGACAATCGTATGAAATCTATATTATGATCTAAGAAGAACTGAAGTAAAATGTGCAACGTATCCTTTGCTGTTGTCTTTCTTTTAGTCATCCAACTAATGGTAATTGTCGCAAGTGTAAGTAAATGTCTTATGCTGAAACACTAGGAGCTGGTCACTGAAAGTTATCTACAAACTGAGAGTGAGCATTCAACGATGGAACTTATTTGCTGAAAGTTGGAGATAATAGAGACACCAATGGATCAAAGGCGTTTTGGTTATGATATGTAGAATGAGTATCAAATGGCAAAGGCGTCGCAGCGACTAAGTCCTAAGTGAAAACATGTGCATGTGAGGCTTAACCGCAACAATGTGTGGACCAGCTGAATCAAGTTAGTTTTCTAGAGGAGAGCTGAGGTGGGTTACTTAATGAATAGGCAAAAGAATGGCAGGATCTAAGCATACTTTGAACCTCTGATGTAGTCAGGGCATATGAGGCAAAAACGCAGCGGTGCGCAGTGAGTTAAGTATTCCTAGCGTGCTATGCATTATATAGTATTGTATTGGCAACAGTCTAACGCATGGACCTAGAGCCAAACAAAACCACAGAACTCAGAAAAAGGATACAGATTAAATCCCAAAATCAGCATCATGGCGCATTAGATGAAGGTGAGTTATGGTGCCGTAAGAAGAACGGAATCATTTACATATTTTGCACAAGCCGTTTTTTCTATTTTTTCATCTCCAACTGTTAAGGAGCAGACATCTGAATCTAAACAAGTATATACAGAAATCTCCTACTATTTTCGACGACGATCCATGAATTGTTTGATTCCAGTCATCGACAGAATTCATCCTTTGACCCACAACCAGACAGGCGTGTGGATTCAAGGGCCAAAAGACGCGAAGTCAGCGATTGCATACGTTGACTTCAAATAGACGGCTAAGCAGCACGTTACCATTTCCAGCCAATCCTTGCACAAGCCACAAAGGCGCAGAACAACAATCGCAGATAGGAGTGCTCTTGGGTGCGGATTTCAAAGTAATTGCCCTGTCGTTCTCAGATGCCAAAAGGAAGTGAAAGCAAGTTGTTCCCTTGTGGTATTTCAATTCTCCTACATAATAAGTAACGAAGAACAGAGCAAGACTAGTAGTGGTGTTGTTGGTTAGATAGTAGACTGATTTAAATTCATTGATCGATGGTCAGTGGTTAAATGACGGTCAATGAAATGGGTGGGGATGTCAGCTGACTAAGGGTAAGTTCCTAGTGAAGGTTAGGTAGCAAAATGTAAAACGGTAGCCTACATACCTCACATAGGGGCGCTAGCTGTACCATGTCCAAGCCACCAGCAAGATAAAGCCCGGCGGGTATAGCCGGATAAATCTGACCTCTACCTTATATAGTGTCCCAAGGTAAGATGGATCATGAAACATGAGTGACATGCAGGCTAAGGTGATGCGTCTAATGTAAAACGAAACATTTACGAGCAAAATAATGATGGTAGGTGCATTGTTGGTTGCTTTGTTGCTATTAGGCGGTACTCCTTGTTCTTCTTCTGGTCTGGTGAGAGATTTCCTCTTGCATTATGACAGTATCCGGATAACAACAAAGAAAGAAATGCCAGACAGCTATCAGTACAGCCAAGTGCTCAGCACAACAAGATGGTATTGTGAAGATGCATAATACATCAAGGCACCTAAGCCACTTGGTGCTGGCGCAACCACGCCGACAACTGGGACTAGCCAGCCGTTGGCAATAGATGCATTATCATCACAGATATCGTCGTTTCAGCGCCAGATGGAGGAACTCAATTTAAACCGTAAGCAGCGCAGCCGCACTGGATCGTCGCCCCGTCGCACAAAATCTGCTGCCCTAGGTTACTGCAATACCACTCGCATTTCGGTAATAAATCCTGTTAGTGCGTTCAGTCATGTAGCTAAACTGCTACAGATGATCTGCTAGGCCGGCGAGTAATGGCGACTAACGGTGTCCGCAAAGCTCAAAGTCGTCTCACCTACAATAGGGATTATGATTCCCAGACCCCTTTCTTTGTTGATATCGGGGCGGATGTCAGCGTCATTCGCCCTATGCGAGGTGAGCCTATCGTTTCTTTTTCGACAAGTCTAAGTGCTGCCAGTGGCACGCCAATAGCCATCTAGGGTTATGGGTCGCTTACCCTGGACCTAGGTGTACGGCGCATGTTCCATTGGGTATTCACCCTGAGGCAGTTAAGGAAGGCAACGTGTTGATGCCAGAGTGCTTGACATTAGCAAACCATTTGATGAAGTGAATTCCAGTATCCTGCTATAAATAAATATCTAGTTCGTTTCGACTATGTGAGGCACGGCCACAGAGGCATGATTTGTTAGGTGAAACTGCCTAAGTCTGTAAAAGTGCACCAACATGATCTTGCGTCTGTGGGCGTGCCTCGAATAGTCCAGAATAAATATTCTGTTCTGCTTGTTCTAGAAGGAAAATTGTTGTACTTCTTTCACTGTATCCTAATAGTCCGCGCAATTTAGCATTGGTAAATACGTTTTCCGGTAGTGTGGTAGGTATCCTTCAACCTCGCGAACTTTATATAGCCTGCGGTAGGCCAGGAGATAGTGGTCATGTATAAGAGACATCTTGGTCTACCAACGGTTTTGGGTTAAAGGCGACATGTATAGGCGATTTGTGGACGTAAATGGCGATATTTTCCCTTAGCGACCAAATGTACCCGAAGATGCGCACTATCAGGGTACATATAAAGATACCTTCTCCAGATCAGCCATCAAGTTGAACCACCGCTACACAGAGCATGCCGTCTCTAATTGGGAATGTGCTAACGTAAAATAATGTGACATTTGCTATGAATGCGGCGTATAAAGTGATTTTGCGAAAGCACTTTATTGTGGCTTTAGACCAATTTTACCCGGAGTCTCATACGGAGCTGAAATACCCGTGTAAATGATGTGGTTGCTGGGGAAGGGAAGCTCATAGATGCAAGAGAATTTTCCTGATATATGAAACTAATATGCTGACCCGCCTATTGTTCTCGAAATAAGGAAAGCACGGAATGGACATTGAAACCTTAAAGTGAAATAATGCTACATAGTGTGGACCATTGACTGAGCTACAGTAAACAAATAAATAAATATTTTATTCTCGATAAACCGAGGCAAGCCTTTTGGGCATGATCAGCATATTGCAATATTGTACATGGTGGCATGATTGGCAGCACCAAGAGCGGGAGTAGTAGAGGTGGAGGCAGTAGTGTGGACCCATATGGCCCAAAGGTTGTACGAAGTCCAGGTTCACAGAATGCGATATGTTGAGATAAGAATCAGATCCCTACTGTGGGGTACGTTGATGAGGAACTAGTGCGATGAGGTTGTGTGCACCTTGCGGGTCATTTGATGGAAGCACGAGGGAAAAGCTGCGAAATTATTTTAAGAATAGTGGCATGTCAGTAATCAAAAATGTAGGCGTGTTCGTGCGAGAGCAGATATATGCACAGCACTTGTAAATATGGTATCCTTCATCTTGCCAATGTGTGTTAGGGGCGGTGAATTTATTGAGTGGCGAGTCATATCCGCCACGTCGCAGTGTTGTTAAACAGACATTTGTGGCTTGTTATAGGGAAAACGCTTGCAAGACGAAGACCCACCACTTCCTGGAACACTGCCGTCTGGTGATTAGGACATTGAAAAGATTGCATCTGACCGATTACCCTCGCGGATGTTTGCAGTAACATTTCGCCTATTTGGTTCCATGCTTGGATAGTCTACTTCGGAGTCGACCGCAAGTGGTTGGAGCTGTTGAAGTCGGACGACTCAAATGACTTGTATTGATTTGCTTAATTTTCTGGGTTCCTTTCGTTTATCAGGATTGTGAAGTTCGGGTAATTTCTTTGTTATTTATTGATTCCGTGTCCATGGGAGAGTCGCAGTTATGTCCTCAGAAATGTTCCGTGCAGGTTTTGTTATCCTTTAGAACAAAGGAGAGAAGAAAAACGGACCGAGCAAACTGCCAAGGAAATTGAACAGGGCTATGTTAATGTATAAATATACAATTTATGGTAATGTTTTACTGATTGAAATCAATGGAATGACCGAATATGTTATACATCATATCCGTAGTTTTGCGTGCAAACACGCAACCCGATATTTGCTGATGGTGAGAAAAAATTACTGTCCGAAGTGGCCTAGCGTACGCAAAAATTGTCCCGTGTGGAAACCATGAGTGTCAGACGTTGTTAACCGGTAAATGAGTTGAGGGAATCGGAAGAACATAGTGAGTGGTTTAATATGCGCTTAAGATATAGGTTGAGCGCTCGATTGACAGTGGTAGAGCTTATCGTTCGAACATGTATGGGAGCCAGTGGAGTTACTACACTGGGTTTGAGACCCATGAAAATAATAACGTAACATGTTCAGTAATCGGATGCTACAGAAACTGCTGGGTGAAGGGGTGAGACAGAGTGTCAAAGTTGTGACGAGCATGGAATTTATATACTATAGCTGTAGTGAGAATACGGTTGCAAAGGCAGTACTAAGGGAACCTAGAATAGCGGAAAAAGATAGGGACTTCTACAGTGCGCAAACAAGTCAAATAGACGGCAGGAAAGGTAGATACTGGGAGTCGGGTAAATTAGGAGGAAGAAACTGCCCGCTGATAGACTTTCAACGATAACAACAGGAATGAGAAGGGCTTGAATACTATGGCTTTAGAGAAAAAATGGTTGTAGATCTAGCGCTGAAAGGGATTAGGAGTATTAGTAGTGTGAGCAGTAGCCCCAAAAGATGCTAGGTGTGTCACTCCAAGGTGGACTTCCACAGTCGAAGGTTGAAGTCAAACAGACTGCTAGTTATAACTCACTAATTAGTGAGTTGCTGGCAGCCTGATTAATTAATATACAGGAGCGGCACGCTTTATTAGGCTCGGCATAGACTGATAGGTGTACAGTGTTGAATACAAGAAAGAAAACAGACAGCAATACTTGCAACAGCTGTAGAGAGTAAACGACAGTAGTGCCGGCTCCGGAAGTGACCAAGGGTAAGGGAATAATACAGACAGCACCGCGAAGTGCTAAGTGTTTCACCCGAAGAGTTGCGATAATGACCAGAAGAGGTGCCGAACAAGTATACAGTAGAGTATGGATAAACAGAGGAGTGGATGAGAACCGAAAAAGTTCAAGTGCTCAGAAGCTGGTGCTGGTGGAATAAGAAAGACAGCAGTCCGATAGACGGGGATGTGATCACTACACATAGTATGGCATTGATGTGAAAAAGAAGAGAGGCCTTGGTTTGAGACCGATAGGCAATTGAAGCCTCGGAGACCGGACTGGTCCAAAAGGTTTAAGAATGGGAGGCACAGGGCCAAATAGCATCTAACGAGGCCTGGGATGTTGCGCTGACGTTAGTGGTACCTATACCACCATTGAACAGTTGTGATATGGACCAAACGAAATGCCAAATGTGAGCTGTGAAGCATGATAGTGGAGCCGAGAGGCAAAATTCAAACAGGGACCGGAAATTTCAATTTCGGTAGGGGTACCAAGCATACAACTAATGAATCAGACGGAGACGAGTATCATGAGGCTGTTACTTATACCAATGAAAACCTTAGTTGATGGCAGTTGATGCAATTGCCTAAATTACTCTGGCTCTTTAAAATTTGTCCCGCTCAGTTTTCCCAGTAGAAGAGCCATGTGCTATAAAGATACCTAAAAGCCTCCTTATCTCCAGCACCGATGGCAGCAAGCAATCTGTTGAATTGCGGTTCTACTTGTGTATATCCCAAATTAATCAACCATTGCGCAAATTTCCTGCCGTCCATAGCGTTATACCCTCTTAAATCAGCGCAGCGCTATCGCATGTCTCTTAGTACAAGCAGCGAAACATCACACGCGCATTTGGAATGTAGGATTTGAAAGCGTTCCTTTGCGCATATCAGCTATCGTTCACCAGCGTCCTTTCTATACGGGTTTCTGGTAAATGTTCCGTCATTCGCTGCACAGCATCATGGTAACTGAACCCGCTTTCGTTAGCCATGAATGCACAGAACATGCTACGGGACAGCCGGTTTCTTCAACTAGCATTGCATGCCATAGCACATAAGCTCCTTGGTTGTGCTTATGTGTGGCTTCTGTCAAGATGACATCGCAGTAGCGATTATATAACGTTATAACGCTTCACGGTATAAAAAT